AGATGGAGTTTGAAAGAAAAGGAATCACTCCATTCATTGATAATGAAATCAAAAGAGTAGAATCTATTAGTCCCGAGCTCGTTAGTGCCATTAGAGGATCTAAGATAGCAATTATCTTGATCTCTAGGAACTATGCCTCCTCAAAATGGTGTCTTGATGAACTGGTGGAGATTATGAAGGGCAGAGAAGAGATGGGTCAAACCGTAATGGCTATTTTCTATAAAGTGGACCCTTCTGATGTGAAAAAGCTAGCAGGAGATTTTGGGAAAGTCTTTAGGAAAACATGTGCTGGTATAACGAAAAAAACATTTGGAGATGGAGGCAAGCTTTGGCAGAAGTGGCCACAATTGCTGGCTATCATTCAAGGAATTGGTTAGTCCTTTTTTAATTCCCACTGATATTTTGAACATGCTGAATAGTTTCACACCATCAAATGATTTTGACGGGTTAGTTGGGATAAGAGCTCATCTGGAAAATATAGAACCATTGTTATGTCTAGGCTCAGATGAGGTGAGGATGGTTGGGATTTGGGGTCCTCCTGGGATTGGGAAGACCACAATCACTAGATTCGCATACAACCAACTCTCCGAGAGTTTTCAGTTGAGTGTCTTTATGGATGATCTAAAAGCAAACTATTCAAGACTATGTTCTGATGACTACAGTTTAAAGTTGCAACTACAACAACAGTTTATGTCTCAAATAACCAATCATAAGGATATAGTGGTTTCACATTTGGGAGTTGTGCCAAATAGGTTGAAGGACAAGAAAGTTCTTATTGTTCTTGATGGAGTGGACCGGGCCCTACAAGTAGATGCGATAGCGAAAGAGACTTGGTGGTTTGGTCCCGGGAGTCGGATTATAATTACAGCACAAGACCAGAGACTTTTTAGACAACATGGGATAAATATGTTTCATATGTTAGTATAAATATATCTAAAAATAAGAAATCTAAATAAGAAAACTTTTGTAAATTGATATCTTTATAAACTAATAAAATTTGAAAGCCTCAATATTATTATTTTATTGAGGTTATATTGTATCTGTACAAAAAGGAGTTTCATTGAAACTTAACGGATAAGAGTCAAATTCCCCTTGTTATGTTGACACTCGATCAACAAGACACGATCAACAAGACACTTAGAAGTTAGTTCATTATGAAATACTTGATGGTTTTCCTTGCAAGAAGTTTCATTTAACCTAAAACGCATAGCACTAATAAACATAAAAACTATGAAATGATATCTAAGATATTCTTTCTTTCTTTTTTGAACTATAATAAGAATAACAGACGGATATAATGTGGATTTAAACCATGCCGTCTAATAATATATTAAATCAGAATATCTAAGATATTCTTGGGATAACAAAGTTGTGAAACATGTTTGAACTAGGTGTTTTATCCGCACTTGCGGGCATAATTCTCTTACAAATATTTATTAGCTGATGTTTCATTAATTTAAAAATTAGCATAATAAATTATTATTTATATTTTCAAAATGTACAAATGAAACATCAAATAATTATCAATGACAAAACTAAAACATCAAAAATATTTATAAGAATATTTTTCAATAATTATTTTGCTTGATTTATATTTAATTATTAATATTTATACAAATATTTCTACTTAATTTATATTTGATTATAATTTTATATCTTAATTTTAAATTTTATAATAGAAAACATATTTTCAAAATAACAATATAATGAATAAGTTATTTATTTTCTAAAAATATGATATGATAATTTTTTTTAATTATATAATAATTATATAAGATTATGATATATAATTAAAATTACCTAAAATCATGGAGATTTTAATGAATCAGCAAATTCACTTCTTAAATATTCTTTTTTGAGTGATGGTTTATATTTAATTAATAATAAATAATTTTTATGTTTTACTTTTAAGTTATATAATATAAAAATATATTTTCAAGATAACAACATAATATATAAGAATTACCTTATTTTATAAAAGTATACTATTATTAGTGTAAATTTATTTCAATTATAAAATAACTATAATTTTTTATATCTTAATTTGAAATTTCTAATAGAAAAATATATTTTTAAGACAACAACTTAATACATAAGAAGTATCTTTTTTTCTAAAATCTGATACTACTAATATAAATTTGTTTTAAATATATAATAAATTATATACAAAATTATAGAAATTATGATAAATTATTAAAAATAACTAAAATCATGGAATATGAAAAATCTACAAACATCAAATTAACTTCTTAAATAATAGTATAGATTTTCTAATGTTAATTTTATAATAGAAAAATATATTTTCAAAATAACAACATAATACATAAGAATTAACTTATTTTCTAAAATATCATATTATTAATATAAATTTAATATTGAAGTTTTATATATAAAATATATTTCAAGATAAGAACATAATTCATAAAATTATCTTATTTTCTAAAATATGATATATTTATATAAATTAGTTTTATTTATAAATAAATTATATTTAAATATTAAAATTATGATAAATAAACAAAATTACCTAAATCTATGCAGAACATTACAACTAAGCAAATTTACTTCTTAAATAATAATATAGATATTTATAATTTTATATGGAAAACGTTTTTTTTTAATAAGATTCTTTTTCAGTTAGTACAGCATCTCTTTTATGGATTCAGCTAAATCTTCGAATAGAACGAACTAGTCAAACATGGGAGATTAGCTTCTATAAGTATGGTTTTATTGATCTGTTTTGTGAGTTCTATCTCACTGGATTCTATTTTTAACATTTTAGTAGTGATTTTTGAGAAGATTTCTTTATTAAATATAGGGTAATAAATCCCCTCAACTAAAAATATATCGTAAAAAAACCCTCAACTAAAGATTTAGTGAAATAAACCCTCAACTTCAGTTCCGTTAATGTCTGTCACCCTCCGTCACGGAATTTTAGACGGAGGGTGACATATGTTAACATAACTAAAATTGAGAGTTTATTTCAATAAATCTTTAGTTGAGAGTTTTTTTTTACATTTCATCTTTAGCTGAGGAGTTTTATTACTAAATGCGATTTAATATTTTAAAATTTTGATTATCATTTATTTATTATTTAAGAATATTACAATTGATTTATAAACATTTAAAATAATTTACAATTTTTTTATATATTACTTTATCAATTTTCTAACCTATTTATAAAGTTTTGTAAATATTTTAATATTTTTATAAACTATTAATAAGATTTAACGATGATTTTATAAGTTTGTCTGCTATTTTTAGAATGAAATAATACATGATTTTTTTTATATATTACAAAGTAAAATGTTAAAGCTTTATAAAGGAGGAAACACATAAAATTTTCTTATATTAATACGGTCAAATATCAAATAATTAAGATTTTTAAGTTATATAAAGTTGTAGGTAATGTTGAGGATATTTAATTAGTTTAGAAATTCAACATTGTTACTTCAAATATGGCAATGACTTTTTTCTCCTCTTTACACAATTTCAATTTGATTCGTACTTTTTTTTCTATTTCAGAAAAAATAATGTAGGATTATTTTTCTTCTTTTTGATTTATGAACTAATATATTATACTCCTACCATATTAATAAATAAGCTTCTCTTGTTTTATTTATGGGTGAATTTGCTGAATATACCAAAAAAAAAAGTTATTTAGGAATTTGCCTTAGTTTAGGGGGAAAAAATAATAATGGGGGGGAGTAGAGAGAAGGGGGAAATAGGGTATATAGCTAATTTGATGGTTTTGTGTGTATACACAATGCAAATACTCTTTATTTATCTACTTCATGTTTTTGTACTATGATGAACAATCTCATCGTTTAATCTTATAAAATCATCATCAAACCTTAATAATATTTAATGAAATAAACCCCAAACTTTAGTTATGTTAACGTATGTCACCCTCCGTCTAAAATTCTATGACAGACATTAACGAAACTAAAGTTGAGAGTTTATTTCACTAAATCTTTATTTGAGGGCCCCTTAAACATATGATAAATAGTTGACGACGTGTGCCAAATAAATATCCGTGTGACTTTAGTGTTTTTCTTCCACATCGGTAACTAATGTTGTCCTTCTTCCAACTCATACATTTCTCGGCGTTTTAGCTACAATCAAGTGTAGTATATGTTCTTTATCGGTTTAATATCCATCGGAAACTTTTATTTTTAAAAGAACAGATGTAGGGAATTTCACAAGTCAGCTTATGCAATGCACTACTGCAAAGGTCCGGTTCATCCCGCCTTATATAAGTCCAATTTTTAAACCAGCGGTTCAATACTTTAACCTTCTTAGCTCAAGTGTCGGTTTCTTTTACTTAACCGAACGCAGATTTTAATCTTAATTAATCTGAACCGTCTTTCTTATTAAACCAAGTCAAAATCAAATGTGAATCAAAGTGAGACCAGCAAACCGAAACTCGTCGCTGTTTCATCGTTTTGTGTGAGTTGAATAATGAATGATGTCGGAACAAAACAAAGTAATTTTATTGACATATGACATATGATCTGCAATGCAAAGTAACAAGTTGTCGTGTGAAGGGTACCTGTGGATCCATGAGAATGGAAAATATTACAACATTGCACGCTTAGCTAATACTATTAGTGCAGCTGAATCCGTTTTGCGAGTTCTAGATACGGGCCAAGAGGCTATTTCTTACGGCAAGTTCAAGCTACTCTACTTGGTTATTACAATAGAAGATATGCGTGTCTTACATATCACCTGTTTACCCAAGTGCCTGAATAGCAACAAAAAAAAAATAAACATTTTTATGTTTCTGATTCTTGCGATGAGTTCTATGTTTCTGTTGGCTTAGTATTTGAGGGAACTGTATGTTGTATGTAGTTTGCATTAGTATAAAATGTTTGTATATAAACAAATAGAAAACTAAATTGATTTTTATTTAATCCTTGTGAGCTGATGACCACATGGAAAAGTTCTTTTAAGAACAAAGAAACACAAAGTAAAACAGAAGACATCTTACAAAACTAATATTACTGCGTCTTCCAAGGGAGAACCCACCCTGGAGGATCCCAATACCTTCTTGTAAACCAAATTCCATCAACTCTGGCAATCCATGAACGTAACTGACCACATCTTTGATAATTTGAATGATATGCCTCAAAAGCAATATTAAATTTATTATTAGCCCCATGTCTAAGAACGCAACTCCATTCTGTTTCATCTGGCCATCTAAAATCACTGAAAGCAACGATATATGGAGTTGCATTGAAGCTTAGCTGATTAGATTCTATTTCTCCCATGTTATTTCTACAATCAATCAACAGAATACTACCAGGAGTTAATTGATTATGAAATACTATATGGTTTTTCTTGCAAGAAGCTTCGTTTAACCCAAAACAAATAACACTAATAAACACGAAAACTATGAAACGATCCATGTTGTGGATCTAAGATATTCTTGGAATAACAAAGTTGTCAAAGGTGTTTGAGTATTTATAGTTTTATCATGGAAAGCAGTTTTTCTTTCCTCCTACATTCTTTTTTAATACAAAAAGAACTAGTCAAACATGAGAGTTTCTTTTCTATAAGTATGATTGACCATTACAATCAATACAAATAAGTACAGATTTTTTACTAAAAACGCCAATGTAGGGGGTAACTGATTGGGATTTATTTCACTTATTTAGTTTTATTTATTTTTAAATCATCCAACATTACCAATTACGATGTAGTTTCATCTTAAAAAATTAAACGCTCTATTAAAATTTTATTAGATTTGACCAATCGTGATTTTTTTTTTAAAGCTGCATAAAAAGTAATTTTTTTATATATTAAGAAAAAATATATATTTATTATTTATATTGTAAAATCTGTTAAAAAAACATAAATGATATCAAACAAATTAGATTATTGTAGGTAACATTTATTAGTTTATAAATAGGGGCAATTCTCTAAAATAACATATTTTAAAGTTTTTTTCACAAAAAAAGTACTCAAAGAAGAAATTGACCAAAAGATGTTTCATTAAAGAAGAAAAAGACTTTTGTACCCTTATTTAAAAATATTTATATTAAATAAAGAATTATATAAAAGAATTAAATATAAACAAATGTTTTCGGATTTTCTGTTTTCAGCTTCACATTTTTTATATAAAAATAATTTTTTCGAATTTTTTTTATTTTTTATTTTTTAAGTTTTCTTTTTGAAGTTTGAAAATGCTTTTGAAACTCTTTTTCAAATTTTTATTTTTATTTTTATTTTGAATATTTAAACCATATCCCAAAAACCCACTCCTTAATCTTAAACAAAAAAAGTCTAAGCTTAGTTAACCCTAAAAGTATAAGAGTATATTTGCCCTTCAATAAAACTTATTTTGGTCATTTTTTACTTAGAAGTTTTTTTTTGTGAAAATAGACTATCCTAGGAAATTTATATATAAATAATGCCTTTTTATTATAATATAACAATCTGGGGATACATTTATTTATTTTGAATAATTTTATAAACTATTATTTTTTAAATACACAAATGTTATCTAAGTATTACATTAAATTTATAACGGTATATTTGATCATTTATATTTATTTATTAACATAAAATATTTTAACTGATAAAAAAACATCCATGCTTTTTCTTTTTGAATGAATTTACTCTATTAAAATAGAGTCATTCTTTTTATCTACTGATACAAGTTGTCATTTAAATTTAGACCCTTTCTAGAGTGTTAAAAATATGTAACACAAGCCATATATTTAATTAAACCGCATTACTTAAATTAAACCGATGGTTATTTATTGGATATAGTCTTGGCTTACTTTTGTTTTTAGAACAAATTATATAGTTTGGTTTTTGGGCTTCGTATTAAGGAAGAACTCCAAAAACATTGAATAAACTTTCCACCTTAATAGATAAAAAAATCAATTATTATTTTTAGGCCCAAAAGGTATTTAATATTTTAACAAAACAAAATTGTCTATTATTAATCATTTATTTAAATCACGTACTTTAAAACAAGTTAATGTATTTTTTTATTTTAAATATCAATCACTTTATTTTGATAAATTTCAATGGTGACTTTTAAATAATTTATTATTTTATTTTTCTTAAATAATTTACTGATTTAAAAAAAATGTAAAGCAAAACCAAAAACCAAATCTAAAAATCAAAAGATGAAAACACAAGTTATATTTTTTTTGCTTTTGTATATTTACAAAATAAACTATTGCAAAATTGTTTTGTCATCTTTTCAGTTTTAAATTAGATGTTCGATTATTTAGGATTTTTTTGTTGGTAATATCAGTTCAAACTAACTCAACGAGTCTAAAAATTAAAAACACAAATCAAAAGCTGAAAATCAAAAGTAGAAACTTAAAAACTAAAAACCAAAATCTAAAACAAAATCTGAAAATAAAAACTGAAACTAAAAACTAATGAAAAACAATCATCATCATAAATTTTGGTGAACTGATTTTATACCAAAACATTATTTAAATTAAGACAAAATCCAATTATATAAATTTTTAGTCATAAAAAATTTTCGCGCTTTCAAGTGCTGGTCAAAATCTAGTGTTAAATTATATTCAATCAAAAGACAGTGTTATATCTAGTGCATATTTATTGTAGATGTTTCTGAATGTAAAATCTCAAAAATAACAAAAGAAAATCAATGAAAGAATGTCCTAACTAGTTGTTCTAGCGAGAACTAAACTAAACCATGAGGTCTTGTTCGTAATCTCTTTTCCATGTAACTGGATTGTAGATAATTTTTTCTTGGTGTAAATGTAACTGGATTGTAGATAACTTTTTCTTTACTATTGGTCAAGCTGCTTCTTTATTCTGATCGGTGATGGTGGTTGTGGCTTAGCTCCATAACGACGACAGTTCTTTCCGCACCAGATACTATGAACAGTTGGCCGAAAACATATGAAGAGTTTGTCTTGATTGTAAGTGGACCTTTTGATGAGCGTTGTAGTGATATTCCAGTCCGTGCTTTAGTAATCTTTGAGGAGACCTCTCATTAACGAATTCCACATCAGAGCGGAGTACAAGAGAAAAGAAAGTGATTCCAATTTTTCATAGTGGATGGGCATAGAACACATTTTGTGCTGATATTAAGGTTCCAACTAGCTATTCAGTTCTATGTAGTGAGACGATCTTGAATAGTCAACCACATTATAAAAACATATCCAGGTGTTGTATGTGTAAACCACACATTTCCCCCCATGAACATCTATGTATATGATCTTTGCAAGTAGGGATGGCTAAGGTAGCATGGAGAAGAGTGCGACCTCCCCCTGTGCCTAAGGGCCAATTTTTTTTCACAATTTATTTGAAATATTTATTAAAATAAATATAAATGCATTTTAACTAAATTTGGTTTTATATATTCTTTAAACTAAATTTATTCTGGAAACTTTCATACACAATAAAACAACAGCTTAAATAATTATATTAAGTTTTACTCATTCAAAATTAAAAAAATGTCTAAAAGGGGATATTATAGTTTCACCACCCCTATTTTTTTAGTCGGCCATGTAGCAATGAGTTATATGTTTCTATTGAGTTATGAGAAATTTTTATCAAGTACAGTAGAATGTCTATAAATTAATACACTATAAATTAATAATCTATAAACTAATATAAATGTCGCCAGTCCCAATTTGAGTCGGTTCAAAATTTAACATAAATCGATAAAATAATAAAATAATATTTTCTTATTATATGTATACATATTTTATATAAGTAAAACTTTATCATTATATTATTTATTTTATATTAACAATGAAATTATCTTTATATTTTCTTAACATTTAATATATTTTTGATAAAATTTAGAAATATTATATCTATAACCACATTTAAATTATGTTCAATATATATTATATACATCAAATAATATAATAAATTAATAAAATATCAAATTGCAAAGTATAATAATTAATATTTATACATTAAAATCACATAGATTTCTTATGTTAAAATAAATAATAAGAACCAAAGTGAGACCGGCAAACTGAAACTCGTCGCTGTTTCATCGTTTTTTTATTGAATAGAAATAATGAACGATGTCGGAATAAAAAAAGTGGGATCAGAGAGAGAAGAAGATAATGGGAGAGATGGGGAAGGCGATAGGATTGCTGATAAGCAGGACCCTTGTGTATCACCACTACGCTAATCAAAACGCAGCTCTTCTCTCTCTTTGTTCTCTGATGTCCTCATCGTTCTCTTGTCCTTATCATTTCTCTCTCTTCCCTGCAACTGAAAAACACGGAAGTGTTGATCGTGGCGTTTACTAATCGAACAGGGCTAATGTCTCATATGATGATTTCTTTGTCTCTGGTCTCTGATATTCCAATACATTTTTGGAATTATTTTCTTGATCTGTCAGCTTCAGTGTGATTTTTGTTCTATTTAGTTTAATTTAAAAATGGAATATTACATTAAAAATTCAACATAAATTTTAAAATGTAAAAATAGATATTACGTATTATAAAGTATAAGAAACAGAAATACACAATATAAGAAAAATAAATAATAATTAAATAAAATTTAAAAATGAAATACTATATTATACAAAAAAAGAAAAATGTATAATTTTACATCAAACAATTCGCTATAAAACTCATTATTTCATCGACATCAACCTCACTACCATCAAACATTACTCCAAAGAACTTCAGGAAAAAAAAAAACATTAGCTCCACCATCAACTTTTGCCGTCCCATAAACATTTGATGACCTTGAAGGAGATTTCTGTAACAAAGAATTTTTGGTTAGGCTGATTCTTTGATGGAAAATCCGCAACTTTCAAAACAGAAACCTACTCATAGGAGTTGATATTCTCCTCATAAATTCGAAGGTATTGCTCCAAATTAAATTATTTTAATCCATAATTTCCTTGGTTTTCAAATTTCTTTTTTTCCCAATTGATTTTAAATATTCAAAATTCTAAAATCCCAACATTATATAATATTATTTTATTTTTTTTGTATAATATATTTAATTAAATATCTTTAATTGACTAATATTAATATTATGCTTAAAGTATAGTTTTTAAAAAGCTTTCAAATATAGTTTAATAAACATAATCGGTGATGAATTTAATTTCTTAAATTAAACTATTATTTAAAACTTTGGTTTTCTAAAACATAGTGAGTTATAAATATCAATAATGGAGTTGGTGAGTATAAACACAAAGAAAAATATATAAATATTTAATTTCGAAGTAATAAATTAAGCTTTTTATTCAGTTATCAATCCAAGAGCTCCTCTCTGCTTTCCTCGATCCAAGATAGAAGGA